AGTGCACACCTTTTCTGATTTTAAACAATTGAGCATCCCCTTGTTCTGCTCAAATGACTGCCTCTTCGTCTAGGTACATAGAATCTCATGATCACAGTTAAACATTCTAGATTTTCCATTCTTCTCAAAGTTATCTATGATTTGTTAGAATCCACACAATTGAATGTCTTTGCCTCGTCAGTAAAGCACAAATAAACATCTTTCTGGTATTCTCTGCTTTCAGTCAATATCTGTCTGATGTCAGCAGTGATATCCCTCATTCCAATTCTTTTGTGAATCCGGTTTAAATTTCAGGCAATTTCCTGTCAATGTACTGCTACAACTGCTGTTTAAACATCTCCAACAAAGTTTTCTTGCATGTCATATTAATGATATTGTTTGATAATTCCCATATTTTTATTAGATCACATTTTTTTGAAACTTTCTATTGTGAATTAAATGAAGATGTATAGTGAAGATCATCAGGTTTACATTCAACAAATCATGCACTTTGTTTCATCTCAATGATTTCAATCCCCTCCATTTCCTCCCTGTTGTTCTTATTTCCATTTCACCCTTCTCCCCAAACTTTTTGAGCTTTGTGGGTCACCTTTCTTTGAAATAGGTACAAATATGGACCTCTACTAACTGGCTTTGGTAGCATAGTGGTTACGAATCGGGCCGCGAACCACAAGGTCAGCAATTCGAAACTACCAGCTGTTCCGCAAGAGAAAGATGAGGATTTCTGCTCCTGTAAAGATTTACAGCCTCAGAAACCCTGTACAAGGTCACTATGAGTTGGAACCAACTCCACAGCACATAACAACAACAACTAACTGGCTGGCCAGAGAGCCATCTTCCATATTTCTTGGCAAAGATGAGTGAGCACTCCCAATGCTGCATTAGTTTGTTGAAACATTTTAATTTTTATTCTGTCAATTCCAGGATCCTTTTTTTTGACAATGCCTTTAGTATATCTTGGATTCTTCCTTCAATAACATCAGTTCCTTATAAAATTCTACCTCTTTAAATGGCTGAATATCGACCATTTCTTTTTGGTACAATGATATCTTCATTTGACACTTCCAGTGTCATTCAATATTTTCTTCACAAAATCCATTAATATTGAAGTTTGATGCTTGAATTTTTCCAAGTACTTTCAGCTTGATAAAATTAATAGTTTCTTCCCTTTGTGTCTTTACACAGCTCATTACAATACTTTTTGTCATCCTGAGCTGTCCTTTGAAACTTTCTGTTCAGCTTCTTTACTTAATCATTTCCACAAGTCACTTTAACTTATCTACATTCAAGATCAACTTGAGATCCATTTTGGCCTTTCCTTTCTTTCCTGTCTTTGTTTAACACCTCTTTTTTCCTGTGTGATGTTCTTGATTTCATCCCACAACTCCTCTGGCCTACAGCCACTAGTGTCTAATGTCTAATGTATAAATTTGTCCTTGAGATGGTAGCTAAATTCAGATGAATATACTCAAGGTCATATATTGGCTCTTGTGGACTTGTTTTAACTTTTTTAAGCTTCAGCCTGAACTCATATATGAGCAAATAGTAGTCTATTCCACAATCTGTTCCTGGCCTTGTTTTGACTGATGATATTTAGCTTCTCCATAGTCTCTTCCAGAGTCCTGGTGTGGCACTGTGGGTTAATGCGCTGGACTCCAAGGTCAGTTCAAGCTCACCAGCTGCTCCTAGGAAACCCTATACAAGGTCATTGTGAGTCTGAACTGACTCAACAGCACTTAACAACAATCTTTTCCTGTAGATGTAGTCAATTTGATACCTGTGTATTCCATTTGATGATGTCCAATTGTATAGGCGGAGTCCTGGTGTGACACCATAGGATAAGCACTTGACTTCAAGGTCAGTTTGAACCACATGGTCATTGGTTCAAACTCACCAGCCACTCCTCAGAAACCCTATACAGGGTCACTATGAGTTGGAACTCACTCAACAGTACTTAATAACAACAACACTTGTGTAGTTGCCATTTATGTTGCAGGGAAAGGCATTTGCAATGAAATCATTGGTCTTGCAAATTCTATCATTCAGTCTCTAGCATAATTTCTTTCATCATTTCAAGGTTGTATTTTCTAACTACTCATCCTCTTTGTTTCCAATTTTCAGATTCCAATCACCAGTAATTATCAATTCAATTAGACTGTGTATTTGATCAATTTCAGATGGAAGAAGTTGGTAGAATTCGTCAATTTCATCATGAATGGCTTGAGTAGTTGGTGCATAAATTTGAATGATAGTGACATTAACTGGTCTTCCTTGTAGTTATATGGATATTATCAGATCACAGACAGCATTGTACTTCAAACAAGATTAATCTTGAAACATTCTTTCACCACGAATGTGATGCTATTCCTCTTCTGTTTGCCATTCCTCACATAGTAAATCATATGATTATCTGATTTCAAATAATCAACAGCAATCCATTTTAGTTTCCTAATGTCTAGGATATTGATCTTTATGTGTTCTATATAATTTTTTTACTATTTTTATGTTCCAGTTATTAACGAATGTTTTCAGTTTTTCTACTCATTTTCTTCTCAGTAAAAGAAGGTCTGAAACAACACCATTAAGTTTAGGTCTATATTGTTGGGGCAGCTCTTCCCCAGTCATATCTTGAATGTCTTCCAACTTTAGGGGCTCATTCCTAGTATTATACCTGAAAATATGCCTCTGTTATTCATTAGGTTCTCAATTTCTAACCATTCCAAAGTGGTCTGCCTCTCATTGTTCCTAGTCTGTTTTAGTCTGGAAGCTCTACTGAAACCTGTCCATCATGGATGACACTGCTGATATTTAAAATGCTGGTGGCATAGCTTCCAGCATCACAACAACACAAAAACCACCACAGTACAGCAAACTGACAGACCAGTGGTAGAGAATAAAAGTACTGCATGAGAAATTCTATTCCTTAAAAGGGAAAGAAGATACCAAGGAGCATGTTGTTTCTGTATGCTTGTGAAGTTGAGGATACACTGATGTGAGCAGATGTGTATTTTAGCCCCCAGGACCAGAAGGTCACAGGATTGCTAAGAATGATTGCTAAACTCAGATTCTCACTTTTGAGCTGAGACTACCAGAAAAACTTTCATAGACATCTGAAGGAAAGGGAAAAAAAA